AATAAATATGTATAAACTGATTTAATTTCAAGTTTAGTTGCTAATGGGGATATATATATAAAAGATTCATTCTTGTCAGAAAACGTTACAATTATGTCCTTTACTTGACATCCTTGATTTGGAAACTAAGATCAAATAACTACTAAAGCTTTTATTTGGGCCACATCTAATCACATCTAATTGTTTTCATAATTGGTTAGTCTGTTAATTGTTTCTTATATTCATAATTTAGTTCATACAGTTTTAGAAAAACTCAAAATGCTGTTTCTGATTTTCTGGATTTCATGTTGATGTCTTCATTCTGCTCATTATTACACGAAAAACATTAAAAACTAGAAAGAAATTTTCATTTTCATTTTAATGAAATCAAAGCAAAGCAGAAAATTCTCCCTCTAGTGAAGCTGCAACTAGAACATTGTTGGAATTCTTGCTTGAAATTACTTGAAATGACTTGAATTCAATTTCTGCCGATCAACTGTGACTCTAAACCGAGTGATGACTCCAAACTCTGACGTTAGAGTCACTGTACAAAAGGAATCCATTAAGAACAGCTAAATATGCCGCGTGTAACCCTAGACAGTCATCACTACTCTGTTTTGACACGGACATCAGCAGTTAGTGTCAGCTGCTCCTCCGCTGCTCGTAGCGAGGTCCGTTTTCTGACACGTCCTCCACTGGGAGCTATCATGTTAGTTTTTTCTAGTTAAGGGATAAGAACTGTAGCGCCTTATTTTTGTTTCTGCTTAGTCAGTCATTTTAATCATTATGATAATCATGCCTATGGGGGACAGTAAAATAACAGTTTGCTCTTCATAAAGGTTCACGCTGAAATAGAACGAAAAGGCTAATATTAAACTCTTCTTTTCACCTTGTGAACATTTTAAAGGCTTGTGCTATTCTTTTGGAGCAAGGAACAGATCTCCTTTTTCCTGTTGTGTGTGTTTTCCTGCTCTTTTGCCTCTTATTCAGCATTTGATGTTAAATCCATGTTGCAGTAGTGATGAGTCAACAACCGAAAAAAAACACATACTTCAGCGTTTCTGCCTGCGTATCCAGGGCAGATGTTGTGCTGTTACTTCAATTTGGTCGTCCTATTTATAGCATTCAAACCACAACTATTTAAGAAACTTAAAAAAATGAAATAAATGTATGCAAATGCCCCTTTATGTTAAATTATCCTTGCTGCTTAATGCGTTTGGAGCATAAGAGCAGCAGGCAAGGTGTAACCGAAGATTTTATACCTTTTTAAACCATAAAAAAATCTGCTAGTCAAACCCGTCTCGCTGCTTATGTTATCTGATTTTCCGTCTGTCTTAGATACCTTTGAACATCGAGCTTTGCAAATTTCAGATGCAAACAGTCAAAACAACAGAACCATCCGGTAATTTTCAGATGCAACTTTTAAATAAAGAGAAAAAAACATCGTGGTTTCCTGTCCATCCAAACTGTAATTGATGGAATGTGGAACCAAACTCCATCTACATGACATTTAAAAACAAACCGATCGGCATCAGGAGACGCTCTTACATCTGTTGATCTGTCGGCCGCTCTGTTTATTTGTGTTGATACTGTATAGCTTTTTAAGTACATGCAAACATCAGCGTTTCTTTTATTTCAAATCCCTCAAACACAAGTGACTGAAATAATCCCCTTCAGATGGAAGAGTTGGGTTGAGTGTGAGACAATGTGCTCTCTGTGCTCTAATTGGTGGAACATGGAGCTTAACTGTGTCTACATAATGTCTAAAAATGCAGCGAGACACATCAAAAAAGTCTTTCAAAGACAATCTTTTTCTCTGGGACAGACGAGGGAACTGAAAATCACTCAAAAAGACATGGAAGAAATGTGCGTTACTAGTTTGACCACCATGTCATTTGGAACAGCATTAGCAAAAACAAATCAGAAAAAAAAATTTGAGATGAAATGGAGATAAATTAAAGGGCTTGTTTTTCATGGTTAAAAACGACTGAGCACCAATTTGGGCACGTTTAGTGTGTGTGTGTGTGTGTGTGTGTGTGTGTGTGTGTGTGTGTGTGTGTGTGTGTGTGTGTGTGTGTGTGTGTGTGTGTGTGTGTGTGTGTGT